TCAGGAGTGCCTTATTCTTCTCGATAGCTCGATGACCACTGTAGGGCGTAGTTCCCTATTTCCTTTCCTCGAATTGGTAGCCTTTTATCATTCTTGGAAGGAAGAAGTTCAAGTGAGAAGATCGGGGCTTGATTCCGTGAATTCTCGATTCTGAGTTTGACGCTCTGTCATCCAAAATCTCTGGTCACCTAAAATCTGTTTGGTCACTGCCTTGATCTATTCTTTCGCTATTGTAAGTTACATGAGATAGCGTAACAGATAACAGGTAAACCATCCCCGCATTTTGTAGCTTTGTGATCAATTTATCTGCTTACTCGAAACCTTTAGCATAGCTTTTTTACTCTGTCAGTGATTAGGCGGAACATGCGATAGAAAGAAAACGCTTTACAGCTGCTGTTAATCGAAAATCTGTGGGAAGAAACAAGAAGACGAAAAAGGAGAAAATGTCAATAATACAGCAATCATCGTTTGGAACTGATGCTATGAGTAGTGAATTTCTTCTGCTACTGGGCAGTAGTATAAGTATACGAGAGGAAAGGTAACACCAGCGAAGCAGCATTTTTCTACTGAAAGTGGTATTCATCATGCTTTCAGTTCTTGATTGCAATGAGGCAACTTTTCAAAATGCTGTGTAACGGACAGCGGCATGATTACGCTGATGATCGTTCATTGGAAACGCGCGATAATTTCACCCGATCGATTTTGCTGACGCTAGAAATCAATCGGGCAGCTAATTATAGGATGGTTGTAGTCTCTTCTCTGAACATCGACAAAAACCAAAGACAAATGGATAAGGATTTGGTCGAAAAGCCACATTTGGCATCGTTGGTCACAAATTTCTGTGCAGTTTTTATATCATAGTATGATTCGTGGTTTACTGTATTTCGCAGAGACTCCCAACGTGTCAGCGTCAGAGCCAGATTTGTTGATTAAGTTCACAAGACAGAAGTTAGCTATTTTGGCGGATGTAATTCCTGAACTTTCTCCCTAGACACTTAAGCAGTTGTATTGTAGTTTTCTTGTGCCTCTCTCGACTTCATGCTCTTCAGGTTTGTCAGTAACTTTTCTGGAATATCGATGGAAACGGCAGACCGTTTGCATATTTTGATTCGTGATGATACTCGATATCTATAAGATTGAAACCTAGATGTAATAATTAATCGCTCCGTAGTATAGTATGATAAGTTATGAAACCGAATGACTCATCAGTATGGAAATAGTGGTAATATACTTTATGATCATATTTACATTTGGTGATGCTGTTCAGTACGTGAAAATATGCTACATAACGTCAATCATGATATTTTGAACTTATGGGTTATTTGTTTTATTGTAGACACTAGCCAGCGAATTTCCTTAGAGACATCGCAGATGTTAATTTTTACATCAGAGTATTTTAATAAGTATCAGATTCCGCCAAATGTAAATCTTTCCGCGTATTACATTGTCTTCTTGCTCATAAAGGGAGCATTACATTGCAGAAAGAATACAACCCTTAAAATATCATTTATGACTAGCTAAAAAAATAATGGAATTGAAGTCTGTTTAAATGTCCCCGAGACATCTAGTAGCAACCAGCAGTACAGTCGCTCTTATATTCGATTTTGGAGGGGTTAGGCGCTTATGTGATAGTCTTACGTTGGTCCATGTTTCACGGGTATTTTATGTACAGACGTGACAGGTAATTTGTTTTCAGCTCTATCTGGTCGATGTCTAATCTGCACGAATCGGAGTTTAGTGACTTAATCAACTTCAATTTTTTTAAAGGTTTAAATGATCTAGAGTTAACGTATTATCTTAAAATGGTCGCTTAAGATTCAGTGTAGGATTTTTGTTGATAAAAATTGTATTATGTTCAAGAAGTTGCATCTTTTGTTTACAAACACTCATAAACATTTTAAAGAAGTATCGACGGATTGTTGCATCCCGCGAGAATCGAATGAAAGGACAAATCGCGCGAAGTTCCTCGGATTAGTTGATCTAACTCAAGAGAGTGACGACGAGGACGACGATGACGGCAGCAAGCAGGGTGGTGCTTCCGTAGGCAGTCACTCGACGAAGAGCAGCACCACCAGTTCATCGGTCATCGTGCTTGATTCGCCTCAGGCAGCCATAGCGACGACGCCGGAGGACCCGATTACTTTCAAGAGTGTGGAAGACGTACTAATTATGTCGGGATTTGGCGACTGCCTGCCACCGCCAGTGAAGAAACGAGTAGTGGCGTCGATGTACAGACGTGACGGAAGCAACGACTATCGTCATCAAACGACCTCTTCCCATCAACACAGGTGTTCAACAGCTGCGACTTCTAACGCCAGGCCTGCGGAAACGTTGATGGACGCTTTAGGCGGCGGCCGCCGCATTCCACATGGTTCCGCAGGTGCTGACAACTGCTTTCCGTATTTCACTTCAATGTTTAATTGTCCAGTTCCTTCGGAGTCGATGTGTCCACAAAGCTACGGTCAGGGAAATGGTCGTATTAACGAGTCTGTGCCAGCGGAATACACCGGATCGGCAAATACTTACATTAGTCCTTCATATGAACCATACATGAGCAGCATATACCGCTCTAGCATGGTTCCAAATGGTTCCCATTCGGACGTTACCGGAAAGCAGGTGGACGGCAGCATTGTCGATTCGTACAGCCGCAGGACAAGGCCAGTAGCAGCGCACCACGTAATGTACGACCGTATGAACGGCCACACAGATAGCGCGTTGCGATCTAGCTTGATCAATGACCCATCTCGCAGTTATACCTATTCAGGTCCGCCGCCATCAACGCACCCATTTACGGCTTGCATGACTGCCACTTACCAGGCACAGGCGCAGACCCAATACGTTCGTAGTTATATATCGAAACGCAATCAGTGATTATGTTCGATACGGTGGCCGAATCCATAGACGACCAAGTACTTATTGCCCTTGTTTGGTTTATGTTCGTTTTGTGTTTTTAATTATGGTTATGAATTTTTTTTGTATAAATAATTTTAAACTTGTTCATTTAAATTTCCGGTAAGCTTTGTGCCTGTCAACCGTAATGCAACCTTGAAAATGCTGATTTAACATTGAAGTAACAACACGGAAATCAGTTGTCGGTGAAGAGTGCTTTTCCGTTTCTTAGATGCAGTATGTCTCCAGTATCAACGCATTAAATGTTGCATCTGCGGATGCGGTAATACGAATTTTAATTATTCGTTGCTTGTGCCACATGAATTGAAATGATGATGACAAAAGTGAACATAGCATTGATTTCGTACTGAATGCGGCGGTAAACACGGAAAAGAAAAATCAAGAACCACCGTTTATAGCAAACTTGCTTGTCCTGAGTGTTACATCATGTTTAATTCCCATGCACCACCAGCTGTTAGATAAGGGATGATTAATCAAAGGGTTCTTTTTACGTAATTTACATCTGACGCCGATTACACCTGACTTCAGCAACAAAATACAAATCCAATTTACGAGCTGGCACAAAACAACTATGTGAAAGTTTTTAGTTCAGCAGGATCGATTGGAAGCTGATCAGATTGCGTAGCCTACAGGATTATTGCCAGGTAAATGATTTTGCACTGAAAGAACTTACTTGAAAGAATCGATTGTTTTGTGATTGAATACAAAACGAAAGCTGAAAAAAGGAAAATTTGTGATCGGTGCATTGTTGGTCTTTGCATTTTTGTGATTAGGGCCGTTGGTGATGCTCTTAGTTCATTAAGTTTATTTTTTGTTTTGATCGTTATTATGACTTTAGGTGGGGTGTTTTACTTTAAAGGCAGAGACGACTGCATAGTGGCTAGCGTAGTGCGTAGTTTTCTTCCCACAGAGTGGAACTCATTTATCAACTTGAGAAAGAAGAAAGCCGAGGGATCCGATCCGACCGGAGCTCGAACTCGGTCCTGAGGCCGACGTACTGTCGACTGAGTAACTTTGGTAGCTGTTTGCAAAAAGCATTGCGAAACGACTCTCAAGGAGTCTGGATGAGCAGTAGCCGGGAGAGTAGGCTATGTTTCGAAAGGAGTTTGATACAATAGAAGACATCTTTACTCCATACCAAATATTGGAAATGCGGATTCTATTTGTGCACGTCGTTCGCCCAGCTACGTACAGGTTTTCGACAAGTCTAACTCGACACAGCCCTGGTCGGCAGTTACAGAGCAGAGCATTGACGCACTGTGCATTAAAGGAAGCGAACTGTGAATGCACCGTGAACATAATGTTGCTCGACGCCTTCCCTCGACGAGTTCAGTGCTCTACACCTACCGCTAGACGTGGTCTTTGGTCAGCAGCGTAGAGCCAGCTTCTCGTTCTTCATACGCAATAACATCTAGCCCATGTTTGGTCTTCATAGTCACGGCCCTTCGATGGCATCGCTGCACCATGAACATGGCGTAAAGTAGTCCGAATAAGAACACAAACGGGGCACTGATGTATAGCTATAAAAGTTTAATAACGGTAAATTAAAAAGTAACAGAATAAACGTTTCTCATATGCTTTGCAAATGTATTCAACGAACTCATTCTAGAGGCAAGCTGATGAGTATGTTCAGCAAATCAATTTATTACAATTTTGGATGTTTATTCTTAGCAACGAAGTGCCTACACCAAGAGATTGTGGTTGATCTTCTAGAAACTGTTCTTGCGAATAAAGTGAGGCGACACTATATTCAGCAGATATTCAAATGTCATGGATCCCCTGGCAACTCTACAGGCAATTAAGAGCCGGGGATTGTGCAGAACGCCTTGAAATCTGCCAAGACGCACGAAAATTAGTTTTTAATATCAATATTTTCCATTGAGTCTACATGCCTGATTGTGAGGCAGATTATGACTTCGTATGACGGTATTCTCAGTCATGTCCGGGGTATAGAATTCCGATGCTGAAGGAGAATTCAGTGTATATGTTAGATCACAGACCATTACGTTAAAAGGCGTCATAAAAACAATATTACATAGTAGCTAATCTGTGTCATAAACGTAACGTCTGGCCTACGATATTTGGTTATGGGTGTTAGGGTTGAGATAAACACCGAGCTGTCAACAGATCGTCTTACTGTTCGATCTTCTGCCTTTTGCTGTATTGCGAGAAGTCATGTTGCCAGACGAAGTTATCATATAAATTGGGAAGTCACATCTTTTGTAGGTGTAAGCAATCGACCGACTGACAAGCATCGCAGGCTGATTGAAAAATATGCAGCTGACGGCAAATATGATAATTGGGTTAGAGGACTATTCCAATTGCTGTTGTTGAGTGCTGCAGTAGAAAATACACTCTTGTCAGAAATGAACTTACTGGTGGACACCAGGAACTTAACTAACAATCAGCAAAAAACGCTACAGTAGGTAGGCATGAAGGCAAGTAGCTTTAATCTTGTTTTGCTATATATATTTGGAATGAAATTTGTTTGTGCTTCGCGTCAAACTGCCACTGAAACCAGTTCCTCTCTGCCTCCCCAAAATCTGATACTTGAAGCAACTGCTGCGAATACGATA